TCATGGAAGTCTCTCGCAACAAACCATCGACGAACCGATGCCAGTATCCGCATTTTTTTGCTTTAATTAAGTCCTTAAAGGTTTTCTCGAGGTCGGTGTACCGCTCGAAATCCCCGACCTTACCGTGTTTGCGGAAGCGTTTGAACGTGGCGGACTTCTCGCTGTTCGCGTCGGTGCAATCCTTATCCCACCACGGGGTGGGAGGTCGCTTGCGGACGGAAACACCCGGAACACGTTTCGTCTGTGCTCGCAGCGCACAATCGATGATGACACGCGCGAGAAAGGAGTACTCGTCCAGCGGATGAAGTACGTCAGCCGATTGACTGGCATCAAGAACCGCGGTCGCGAATTTTCGCCAGTCAATGTTTTTCGTAAGATCGTACGCGATGTCTACCGAGCGAGTAGAAGATGAACCATTGGTAATAGAAATTTTGATTGGAAAATGGTCACTACCGTAGGGATCTTGAATTACTTTCCACGAGCAATCCAACGATAGTGAACTCGAACAAAGTGAGAGGTCTAATCTGCTTATTTTTGCTGGAGGTTTGGCTACTCGTGTTGTTTCCCTGGTGTTCAGAATTGTCATTTTGAAGAAGTCGCACATGTCGTATATCAAGGTTGAGCGGTTGTCGTCGTACAGTTCCCCCCAGCCTGTACCGTGAGAGTTAAAATCTCCCAAGATCAACCGTGGCTCCGACATAGCCGTTCAGATATCAGAGAAACTTTGACGAGAAATCGCAGTTCTCGGTGGAAGATATACTGAGGCAATACTGAGGCATTTACCTCGAATGTTAACCTGACATGCAACTTCTTCAATGCCTGTCACCGAAGGCAGATCGATTCTGTAGAAGAAATGGAGCTTGTTGATCCCCAGAAGCACCCCTCCATACGAATCCGCGCGGTCAAGGCGAATAATGTTGAAATCGTGGAAAGCAAGATCGTTGTCTGAAGAGAGCCATGTTTCACAAAGGGCAAATGCATCAGAAAGTGAGTTGTTAACTAAAAATTTAAATGTGTCAAGTTTTGGCATAAGACTTCTACAGTTCCACTGAAGAACAGAGATCATATCCCGACCTCATTCGGAGAATTATCCATCAAAGGATATGATCGATGCAAGGAAGGATCACCTAGAAGCTAGTTGCTTCCAGGGCGTCACAATATCAGCTTCAATCAACCAAATCGATGCGACGAAGAGACTGCTGGCTTTCTTTTTCTGTTAAAGTCGAACAGCTTCGCAGCATTCTAGAACCTCAGTCGGCGTGCACAAACAAATGTTCAATCGCTTGTCTCTCTTTCTCCCGTCGCTCCATTGGTCTTCCTTTCAAGCTTCGGTGTAACGGATGCGCGAAAGAGCGCTCGACTTTGATAGTTTTTTCTTTCATGAAACACATCAACAGAGGTTTCATGACGTATATGACGGAAAATGAAATAACACATTTAAAGCATTTCTCACGTGAAAACACGTGAAGATTACACGTAATATTTTTAATTTATCTTCCATCCATATATTTATCTAAAAAAAATGATCAAAAACGGGACATAACGCATTTTAAACAAATTGAAAGATCGGTGATAGAGTGTTCGTGAAAGGGGATTGAAAGCCATAATGAGGTTCGTTTAACTAGAAAATCGACTTTAGTTACATTGAAAGCGATGAGCAAAGCAACGACGGGAAATTCCACAGCCAGCGTTTACTTCTAAGCGTGCTTCTTTTTCACTATCATTTCTTGCTGATAGTCTAGCTACCCGCATAAACGCGAACCATCACATGACCTTACCGATAATGGTTATAATCCCTGCTAAACTTTAACTGAAATGGTTATGGTACTTTACATGAACGTTTGTGTGATAAAGTTTTAACCTTATGTATTATGGTTTTTTGGAAGCGGACTTTACAAATAATGGGTTGTTAAGAACCATTACCATTCCAAATTCTTGTTTTCTCAATAGATTTTCGGAAAGAGAACTATATTAGAACGTTTTTACTTATGGTTTGAGAACATTAATGGTTATGGTTATGGTAGTCAGTAAGGTCCATTAATGGTTTTGTATTATCGCTCAACTTTACGTGAAATATATCGTGAATTGGTAATCAGTAATTTACAGGCAACCAATTCGCGATATATTCCACATAAAGTTGATCGATGTTACAAAACCATTCATGGACCTTACTGGTTACCATATCCATTACCATTAATGTTCTCAAACCATAAGTTAAAAGGTTTTAGTATAGTTTTTTTTTCCGAAAATGTATGGAGAAAACAAGAATTTTGAATGGTAATGGTTCTTAACAACCCATTATTTGTAAGGTCCACTTCCAAAAAACTATAATACTTAAGGTTAAAACTTTATCATTAAACGTTCGTGTAAAGTTCCATAACCATTTCAGTTGAAGTTTAGCAGGGATTATAAACAATTTTAACCATTTTAGGTAAGGTCAATTTATGGTTCGCGCTTATGCGGGTAGGCGTTATAGAAATGAAGCGTCACACGTATGTATGAGAGAAAAAAAACACGAGTTCATTTTAGAGCTTCGAAAATGTAGAGCCCTGGTTGCTTCAAAAGATTTTTCACCATTGGCAGCTGTCTAGGAGTGTACTACGCACGGAAAATACCATCGGCTGTCCCCTTGATCGATGCAGCAAGGATTGTGGAACATGTTGTGCTGCCACTGTATGCGAGATCTATCAACCACCAGAAATGCCAGCGAGAGAGCACAACTACAGCCACCGAGCCGAAGAGAATGTAAAAAGGGAGAAAATATGCACTTTATATAGGTCAATAGTCTAAGGGTAAATAAAATATTAATTAGATAGAGAAGAAAAAAAGACTTCAGATAGCCAGGTCGATAGATGGTCACGGGACCGAATTTGTGATGTAGCTAATAAGTTTTAAAATAAATGTTAGATGTATAGTGTAGTGTTTTAAATAAACTGTTTGATGTTTAATAAATGTACTTAATAAAAAGTGAATTGTGTCGTGAAAAGGAACCGGAATTAAAAAATTCACCACGCCGGAAGAAATCCCAAGGAAACGGTTCTCTGACCGTATAGGAAGGATCCTCCAATTCCACCCAAGGAGGAAGAACCAGACCCCAGGTACAACATTTGGTCCTTCGAACCGGATCACCAAGGAAAGATCATCCCAATTCGCCAATACCTGATACGATCACAGTGGACATCCGCCATTGGAAAGCAATTAGGATCGCTAAATTGCGCCATCGACACAATTCGCCATCTCGCTCGCTATTCTTGGTGACCGATCGCCATCGTGAAAGGATCACAAAGACACTATCAGCCAACCATTCTGCACTTTGAGGACAAAGGAGAAAGCTGGATAAGGATTCACTGATTGGTCCCACAGGTGGGTACACATTAGTAATATGTCCAGCCGGAGCTTGGATTAAATTATTTGCTAACACTACTCTTCTCCGTACGAGCACTACACATATTGCACTATCGACCAACATCAACGGCAAGCCAAGGGAATCAATTCTGTTCACCAACAATCTGCACTACGGATCATCCGTCAACCAAATCGTCTATTCAACCAACGGGCAGGCCGCCCTGGTTTGCCCAGGTAAATAAAAGCACAGTTGTATGTCCAGCCGTTGCCTTAATTTGCGGACATTCTACACACAACATCGTTTTCATTTCCATGAATGCACCTGAATCATCACTGGAGCAAACCAAAACAAACTGCTGCATCAATTCATCACGAACAGCAGTATCGTCACTTACCACTACTATTGCTGTTGAATCGATCACCATCCGCAAGCGCGTGACGTCATCGTTTGGGTAAACGATTGCATTTCAATCTTCAATCACTTTCACCATCATCACGAGATTCAACACCACCAACAACACTCGCGAATGCATCGCATTGCACCTCTGGTCATCACGCGACGGAATTAGTTGCACAGGTCAGTTAAAAAATAACACTTATCGCACTAATTAGTATATGACCAGCCGATGCTGGACCATTACCGAAACTACATTTGGCACTTTCTATTCCTCTTTGAACACTGATGTATGGTTGTGTATGCGTGGGCGATATCGAACATTTGATTTTGTGGGACGTGTCTTCGAGGGGCGCACCGAAGCATTCTCAGCACGTTCTACGCATTAAGGAACAACAGTTGTGATCCCGTGAATAGCCGGCACTCTGTTTTATTGCAATACCACTATCGTGAATTTTTCTCCCAGGTAAAATTAATGTAGCAGTATATGCCCAGCCGAGGCATGGGATTTGGTTGCTTACTACATGGTTATTTCTCCCTCGCGAACCTTGATACTGGCAATTGACCAGAAGGTCCCGAAGAAACGAGCTCAACTTTTTGGCTCAGCTCTGGTACTATCTTCGGTCCCAAGCTAATCGATTCACCCCTCGAAACTTAGGAAAATCCACTAACCCCTCATTTTATCTGTCAAACTTTCATAGCGAATCAAAACAAACATAGTGTAGTACTGGAATTTATACTAGAATGGGGTACGTTAATCGATTTGCTTGGGACCAATAGGCTAGTTAAGTAGTAAGCCAATTTGAAATCGTTAGTTTCGTATTGATTGTTGGTTGTACATACTTGTAGAGGGGACACAGTCTTCTGTTGTGAAGGTAATTAGCTCTACAGTGTATGTCTAGCCGAGGCTAGACGTCAATACGGAATACTACAACTGCTTTCGTTTTTCATTGAATCTTGCAACAAATTCTGCTGCACGATGCCGAGGACGACTACAGCGAAGAAGGAGCAATCCCTCAGGCCGTTGGAAACATGTTCAAGCAAATCTATAAGTTCGCTGAGTCAATGGATGAGCAAACTTCAGCTTTTCAGGTGTCAGTTAGGTTGGAAAAGTTAGAAGAATTATGGGAGGATGTCAATGAGGCTATAGTTGACATAGAATCGCATGAAGATTATTCCGGTGAAGATGGTAAATGCGCTAAGGAGAGGTCAGAGTTCATTCAGCACTACTTTGACGTAAAATCTTCATTGTTGGAGAAAGCAAAGGAATTAGAAGAGGTCCCCGCCTTAAATCAATCTCGCGTTTTGGACGTAACGCAGTCTACGTTAGAACACGTTCGGCTCCCACAAATCAAGTTGCAAACCTTTGACGGCAACATCGATGAGTGGTTGAGCTTCAGGGATTTGTATACCTCGTTGATTCACTGGAAACCTGATTTACCCGATGTCGAGAAGTTTCACTACCTGAAAGGATGCCTCAGTGGTGAAGCCAAGGCTTTGGTAGATCCGCTGTCCATTACAAAGGCGAATTATCAAGTGGCTTGGGAAACACTAACAAAACGTTACAACGACAGCAAGTTACTTAAGCGCCGCCAGGTCCAAGCGTTATTCAAGCTACCTTCGTTGGCTAAGGAGTCAGTGTCCGAGCTTCAGTCCTTGTTGGAAGGATTCGAGCGTATTATTCAGAACCTGGATCAGCTTGTTCAACCGCAGGACTACAAGGATTTGCTGTTATTGGACATTCTTGGTTCTCGACTAGATCCTGTGACGCGCCGAGGATGGGAAGAGTATTCAGCTTCCAAGGATCAAGATTCCGTTAAGGATCTAACGGAATTTCTCCAAAAACGGATTCGGGTTTTGAGTTCGCTTCCATCCAAACCTGTCGAACTTAAGGGAGATTCGGCAGCATTTTCCAAGAAGAAGTTCCCCGTCGCACGAACAAGTCATAACGTAGTACAAGCATCTGGTGGTCGATGTGTGGCTTGTTCAGAAGTTCACCTCCTATACCAATGTCCGTCCTTCCAACGTTTAACGGTGTCCGCTCGAGATAAGCTACTTCGAAATCACTCGCTTTGTCGCAACTGTTTCAGACGTGGGCATCAGGCTTCCGAATGTTCATCTCGCTTTGTTTGTCGAAACTGCAAGGCGAAGCATCATACAATGGTCTGTTTCCGATCTGAAAGGAGCGATGGAACAAAAGGGAATGCGGCACAAAAATCTACCCAAGCAGATAATAGCAATGCAGTTACGGCGGAGCAAAATCCAAAACCAACTACTTCTTCGGCTATGGGAGCAGTGTCATCCAATATGGCACGCCGTCAATCTTCATCTGTACTGCTTGCTACAGCTGTCGTCTTGGTGGAAAATGATCAAGGGATCAGTTTTCCTGCACGGACCTTGTTGGATTCAGGGTCAGAGTGCAATTTCATGACCGAAGGATTGTGTCAGCGTTTGAATATCCAACGAAGGCGTTCGGATATATCCGTTCTGGGGATAGGACAATCCAATACGCGGGTAAGGCACAAGATCACGGCGAAGGTTAAGTCACGAGTTTCCGGATTCTCTCGTGATATGGAATTCCTCATCCTACCGAGGGTAACAGTGAACCTTCCAACAACAGACGTGCAGGCGACAGGTTGGGAATTTCCAGAAGGTGTGGAATTGGCAGATCCAGCATTCTTCAATTCCAAGGCAGTGGATATGATTCTCGGAATCCAGTACTTCTTCGCCTTCTTCAATACAGGCAATGAAATCCAATTGGGAAATGGATTTCCCACACTAACGGAATCAGTATTTGGCTGGGTGGTATCTGGTTTGGTAAATACTGATAATCCAAATCCAAGGTTTTCCTGTAACATGGCAGTTACAGAGGGTCTGGAGGAAATATTAACTCGGTTTTGGGCCTGCGAAGAAATCGAGTCTCCGAACAATTATTCACCAACAGAGGCAAGGTGCGAGGAGCACTATAGTCGTACGGTACGACGTGGTACAGATGGTCGGTATACAGTCTCACTCCCAAAGGACGAAACCGTGCTAACAAGGATGGGCGAATCAAGGGATATCGCATTCCGCCGTCTTCAAGGGATAGAACGACGATTGCTTCGGGAACCAAGGCTACGAAAACAGTACGACAAATTCATGGAGGAATACTTGGAGTTAGGACACATGCGCAAGGTGGACGCGACCGCAGAAGGAGATGCAAGCCGATGTTATCTACCACATCATCCAGTAGTTAAGGAGAGCAGCACCACCACCAAGGTCAGAGTAGTATTTGATGCGTCTTGTAAGACCAGTTCAGGAGTGTCTCTCAACGATGCGTTGCTGGCAGGGCCAGTAATCCAGGACGATCTACGTTCTATAATTCTGCGATCTCGGATCAGGCAAATTCTGATGGTAGCTGATGCGGAAAAGATGTTCCGTCAGATTTGGGTAGACTGGTTCGACATAGTATTCCAATACATACTGTGGCGCAAGGATTTCAACGAAAGAGCCGAAACCTACGAACTCTGCACGGTTACATACGGTACGAAGCCAGCACCGTATTTAGCAACACGAACTCTCAAACAGCTGGCGATGGATGAAAAAACGCGGTTCCCCATGGCAGCAAGGGCAGCCATGCAAGACGTCTACATGGATGACGTTTTGACGGGTGAGGATGATGAGGATACCGCGAAGCAGCTACGAATTCAGCTCGATCAGATGATGGAGAGCGGAGGATTTCGTCTGAGGAAATGGGCCTCTAACTCAGCTGCTGTGCTGGAAGGCATACCGGAGGACAATCTGGCGTTGTCGAAGGAAGGGATACAGCTTGATCCAGATCCAGCTGTGAAGACTTTGGGACTGTTATGGCTACCAACAAGTGACGTCTTCAAATTCGAATTCAAAATCCCAGAGGTCGGTCCTAATGAGCAGTTGTCGAAACGAAAATTATTATCAATGATCGCAACTCTATTCGATCCACTGGGATTAATAGGAGCAGTGATAGTAAAAGCAAAAATCTTCATGCAGCGTCTATGGTGCTTGATGGATGAAGAAGGAAGGAAACTGGGCTGGGATCAACAGTTGGCGTCCAAGGAATGTGAGGAATGGCTGAGGTTTCACCGACAAATTCCGCTATTGAACGAGATAGCGATTCAGCGTTGCATTGTACTGCCGAAGGCAACATCCGTTCAACTGCATTTCTTCTCCGACGCTTCCAAATTAGCATATGGAGCGTGTGCGTACGTGAGAAGCATTGACGCCTTGGGAAACTGCCTTGTGGCACTACTCACATCGAAATCTAAGGTCGCTCCATTGAAATTGCAGTCGATCCCTAGGTTAGAGCTATGTGGAGCTCTGCTAGCAGCACAACTGAAGGAGAAGTTGCTGAGTTCATTGAAGATCGAGACAGAAACATTCTTCTGGGTAGATTCTACCTGTGTGCTACAATGGTTGAAGGCGATTCCCTCAACGTGGACTATTTTCGTCGCCAATCGAGTAGCCAAAATTCAACACGCAACAGAAAACTGCATGTGGAATCACGTCCAAGGAGTGGAGAATCCAGCGGATCTGATTTCAAGAGGATTGTTACCAGAGGAAATTGGAGATAACCAGTTATGGTGGGAAGGCCCGTCTTGGCTGAAACAAAAGCAGGACTGCTGGCCGAACCAATCGGCAGAGATAGTTTCCGATGAAGTTGAAGAAGAGATCCGTAAATCTACTGTGCACTTTGCTACATCGAAACCAGAGGGATTTGGAACCACGTATGTTAGAAGGTTCTCGTCATTCGCCGATATGGTCTGTCGTATATATATTACGTTTCATGGAAATACTGAGGAAACCAAGGAATAGTTTGACATTTCCCGAATTTCCAACAGCAGAGGAACGTCGTAAGGCGGAAATAGCTGTCATACGATGTGTACAACGTGAGGAGTTCGAGAAGGAATGGAAGGCGCTAACCAAGAAGGAACCGGTAGCAAGGAGCTCATCACTTCGTTGGTTCAATCCACAATTGTCAAGGGACAACGTGATACGAGTTGGAGGAAGACTAGAGCATTCCCAAGAATCTGATGAAACCAAGCATCCAATCATACTTCCAGCAAGGCATCCTCTGACCAGATTGTTCTTCCAACATTACCACCACAAACTCATGCACGCTGGACCACAGCTGCTTATAGCAAACTTAAGGCTACGGTACTGGCCGTTGGGAGGTCGAAACGTAGCACGTGAAGTTGTACATGATTGCTTACGATGCTTCCGTACTAAACCTAACGCAATTGAGCAGTTTATGGGGGAACTGCCAGCCGCTCGTGTGACGGTAGCTCGACCATTCTCAAGGACAGGAGTCGATTACTTCGGACCCGTCTATTTCCGGCCGGGCCCTCGGAGGACAGCGGTGAAGGCATACGTGGCACTATTTGTTTGTATGTGCACCAAGGCAGTTCATTTGGAGTTAGTGACTGACCTATCGACGGACCGATTCCTGCAGGCATTTAGGAGGTTTATTGTCAGGCGAGGGCGCTGTACGGATGTATATTCCGATAACGGAACCAACTTTGTAGGGGCCCGTAACAAACTCAAACAACTATTTGAGCTATTGAACAGCAAGGATCATCAGAAGAAAATGGTGGACGAATGCGCAAAGGAAGGCATAAATTGGCACTTCAATCCGCCTAGTGCACCACATTTCGGTGGGCTCTGCGAAGCGGCAGTGCGATCCGCAAAGATTCATCTGCTGAAGGTTCTAGGCGAGACCGTTGTTTCTTTCGAAGACCTTTCTACGCTCTTAACCCAGGTGGAATCATGTCTGAATTCTAGACCTCTGACACCTATGTCAGATGATCCAACCGATCTAGAACCTCTAACACCCGGTCATTTCCTTGTGGGCGGACCTTTGCATCAGCATCCAGATCCAGATTATACCGATGTACCAATGAACAGCCTGCATAGTTGGCAACTCATTCAGCAAAAACTCCAGTTATTTTGGAAACGTTGGAAAAGCGAATATTTATCGCAATTACAAGGAAGGGTCAAAAGATGGAAACCTGCCATTCCAATATCTGTAGGAAGGCTCGTGGTGATAAAGGAGGAAAATACACCGCCGCTTCGTTGGAGAATGGGTCGCATACAGGATACTCACCCAGGAGCAGACGATGTAGTTAGAGTCGTCACATTAAAAACCGCCACTGGATTGCTGAAGAGACCCGTAGAGAAGATTTGTATGTTACCAACTTCGCGACAACCACATTTCTTAATACGTCAAACGATCAGCAGCCACCCATCCTGTGTTCGAAGAGGTCCATTTCTTTCTTTTCAGAAATTCCGGAATTTCAGGGTGGGGAGTATGTCTAGGAGTGTACTACGCACGGAAAATACCATCGGCTGTCCCCTTGATCGATGCAGCAAGGATTGTGGAACATGTTGTGCTGCCACTGTATGCGAGATCTATCAACCACCAGAAATGCCAGCGAGAGAGCACAACTACAGCCACCGAGCCGAAGAGAATGTAAAAAGGGAGAAAATATGCACTTTATATAGGTCAATAGTCTAAGGGTAAATAAAATATTAATTAGATAGAGAAGAAAAAAAGACTTCAGATAGCCAGGTCGATAGATGGTCACGGGACCGAATTTGTGATGTAGCTAATAAGTTTTAAAATAAATGTTAGATGTATAGTGTAGTGTTTTAAATAAACTGTTTGATGTTTAATAAATGTACTTAATAAAAAGTGAATTGTGTCGTGAAAAGGAACCGGAATTAAAAAATTCACCACGCCGGAAGAAATCCCAAGGAAACGGTTCTCTGACCGTATAGGAAGGATCCTCCAATTCCACCCAAGGAGGAAGAACCAGACCCCAGGTACAACAGCAGCACTAAATTAATAATGCTCCTCGTTGAGTCAGAGATATTAAATATACTGAAGAAGCTATCCACAATACCAGAAAACGTGAACATGGGGGCATGTTCTTGCTGATTATTCAGCTGCTTTTCTGGTCGAAAAACTGGGACATCTGGGGTTTTAGATGATCCTGCAAGTGACGGAAAGTTCTTGTCATAATTGCAAGGTTGAAAACCCGGTGGAATGGGCTTGGGTGCATTTCCGTTACCTCTTTCACCTCTATTTTTCCAAGGTGGAAGGGTGGTCCCTACGAGTGGCCTTACGAGGCTTTTCGGTGGTGTGTTTTTTTGCTCGTTTTCTCGTATTGCCTTTAAAGACAAACGGACTACCCTCACCGGCCTCTGAGTCAGAGTCTAGATCATCAAATGGCAAAATGGAGAACGTGTTAATGCTTTTTGGTGTGGTCTGAGAAGATGGAGCGGTATTCTTCAAGAGTTCTGCTATAGTTCTCTTGGAGCGAGCTTGCAGAGACCGCTTAATTTTGTCTCCCTGCTGTTTATACCTCGGGCAGTCAGTCAGGGTATGCAGGCTCTCCTTGCAGTACACGCATTTTGGTGGAGCACCGCAAGGGTCCTCTTGATGTTGCTCGTCACACTGATCGCAGCGTGGTTTATTCGAGCAGTAGTCAGATGTGTGACCAAGTTGTTTACATTTCGAGCAGTTCATTACCCGAGGTACAAACAGACGTACAGGCAGCCGAACCTTGCCAATAGCGACGTAGTGAGGTAACGCTTGTTCTAACTGTCATTCAAACGCCCCTCGGTTGCTGCGATGGGTAAAAAAGCTACGAAGAGAGAACGACGACGAACAGCAGCGAAGTTTTACTTTTAGCATTCTACTGCAGAAGAGATAGTTGTCATTTAGACGGAAGAGAATAAAGTAGTAGATAGTAGCACTGAGTTTTAGTTGGTTCCGTTCCCAAGATCCGAAGTGTCACAGTGGGTGACCGTCGTGTTCCGCCGTTTCCGATTGTATAGTGCCACAGTGTGTGGAACCGTATTGCCTTTATGTCCGTTTGGTCACAGAGTCACAGTGTGTGGCTGCAGTGCAATCTTGTCAAAGAGATTACAGTCCCGCCAATGAACCTCGTTTTTCCGTTACAGTCCCGAACAAAATTTGGTCCTACGAACCGGATAGCAGTGGACCTTTCCCAAAAGCTGCCCTATCCAGCTTTGTGCTACGTGTAAAAGTGGGTTCCGCCTTCCCAACGTAAAAAAGTGCATTTCCGGCGAACCTTGAATCTTGCTCAGCCAACAAGTATCCATGTGTGTCTGAAACATTTCACAAACTTTGTAACCTGTTTGATGCCGTTCGACAACTACTACGTCGTGAATATAGCTTCGTCGAAAGCTCCGAACGTTTCGAAGAGTGTCGCCCGGGCGCGTGTATGTGAAACAAAACTTTTGTCAGTTTCTTCTATCTGTCTTGTTGACAAAAATATTCGTTTATCGATCAGTTTCGCGGTAAGTCGCGTTATCGCGTAGTGATAAAAACAAAATGGATCAGGACACAAGCGAACTGGATCATCAGACTCCAAAAGCGAAGGGGTCCGTGCAAGTGCCAAGGCCTCTGTTTTTGACATCGACGAGCAAATCATTCCATGGATATAGTTACTGGGAGCTTAATGGGGATCCAGAAACCATAAAGCAGTTGAAAGCAGTTTTCCGGCAGCGCAACAAAATCTATCAAAAGGTGGTGAAGATGGAAAAAGTATTTTCGGATCGTAAAATAATGAGTTTGGCGCAACTCAACGTCATGTCTCGGAATCTGACAGCAGCTTACACGGAGTTCAGTACGTTCCATAGCCAGGTGTTATCGTTAATTCCGGATGAAGACCTCAATGAACAGGAGGATGAATACGCGATGTTTGAAGAACTGTACAATTTCGTCTCCGAAGTTGTCGAGGAGCTTATTTTGGAAGCCAAAGGTGCAGCTGCCACTATTCCCACCGAAAAGCAAATCATTATCCAACAACAGCCATTAAAAGCACCAATTCCTACCTTTGATGGTAGTTATGCTGCATGGCCAAAGTTCAAAGCCATATTCAATGACCTAATGTCCAAGTCTAGAGATAGTGACGCCTTGAAACTTTATCACTTGGACAAGGCGCTGATTGGGTCTGCTTCTGGAATGTTGGATGCAAGAACAATCAACGAAGGAAATTACAATCAAGCATGGCGAATTCTGACCGATCGGTATGAAAACGAAAGAGTGATCGTCGAGTCCCATATCCGAGGATTGTTTTCCCTGAAACGAATGACGTCAGAGTCTTCTAAAGATCTTCGTGCGTTAGTTGATGAAGCTACGCGGCATGTAGAAAACCTTCGCTTTCTGAAGCAAGAACTTTTGGGTGTATCCGAGTACATGGTTGTCTTCCTTATTTCCAAAGCCCTTGACAAATCCACCCGTAAAGTTTGGGAATCAACATTGAAAAAAGGAGAGTTGCCGAAATACGAACCGACCGTCCAGTTTTTGAAGACTAGATGTCAGATATTGGAGAATTGCGAAACAGCGATATAACCACTGTCATCGCAACCGACCAAGCCTGCTTTTGCGTCGAGCAAGCCTCAAGTTCAGAAGTGCTACACGAACGCTACGACCCTCATCAAGCCACAAATGGCCAACGCCGATCGATGTGTATTTTGCGGTAATCAGCACAAAAACTTCCAGTGCGATGTCCTAGGCAGTCTTCCAGTAGCGGAGAGACTTGAAAAAATTCGTACAGCAGGTGTGTGTTTCAACTGCCTCAGGAAAGGGCATCAGTCGAAAGAGTGTCCATCGTCGAAGACCTGTAAGAAGTGTCAGAAGCACCACCACACGTTGCTACATGGAGACAAGGAAGGAAGCATGAAACAGGATGCAACAACGAACGTGTCGATCCCGCAAAAAGCCGAAGAACCTTCAACGTCAGCCCAAGAACCGGTATCAGTGGAAAATTCGACGGTTTCAACATCTTGCTCTTGCAATTATTCCCAACCAACGAAGACTGCTTATTTGCTCACTGCGGTAGTACACTTGGCGGACTCAGCGAACTAGCTTCATCCGTGTCGAGTATTACTCGATAGTGGCTCCCAAGTCAATTTTATTTCAGAAAAGATGGCTAATTTGCTTGGCCTACCGAAACAACCGGCAAACGTCCAAATCACCGGAATTAGTGCAATCCGAACGCTTGCACGCGAGAAGATCAACGTACAACTTCACTCTCGAGATAATGCGTTTCATGCTAGGATGGAGTGCCTAATTACTCCAAAGGTAACCGGAACCTTGCCAGCTTTCAAGATTGATGTGCGAGATTGGAAGCTGCCCAGTGAAATTGTTTCGGCCGATGTAGATTTTCACAAGCCGTCCCAGGTAGATATGCTGACAACATTTCTTTGATCTGCTAAAGCCTGGCCAAATTCAGCTCGCTCCTCATCTGCCGCAGCTACGTGATAGCCACCTCGGCTGGGTTGTGGCTGGCGTAATAAACGACAGAGATGCTCCAACCAGGACAGCAGTACACTCCAATACGGTGTCAGTCAGCGATATTGAAAAAATGATGTACCAGTTTTGGCAGATTGAAGAGGTTCCCAACGTTGCCAAGCATTCAGCTGAAGAACAATACTGTGAGGCACATTTCCTGTCGACTCATCGTCGTGATCATACCGAAAGGTATGTGGTGAAGCTTCCATTCAAGGATAACGTGGGTCAATTGACCGATTGCCGAGAAATCGCGCTGAAGCGGTTTTTGCTGTTGGAAAAGCGTTTTCTGCGAGATCATGCTCTCAAGGCGCAGTACGTTGAATTCATTCGTGAGTACGAGTCACTGAAACATTGCCACCAGATAAATGAAGCCGACGACCATCCGGATAAACAAAAATTCTATTTGCCCCATCACGCAGTACTGCGGCCTGAAAGTTCCAGTACTAAATGCCGTGTCGTTTTTGACGCTAGTGCAAAACCTTCATCGTCAGCATTGTCATTAAATGATGTTCTACATATGGGGCCAGTTGTCCAAAGTGATTCGTTTACCATAACGATTCGTTTTCGGAAGTATAAGTTCGTATTTTCTGCCGACGTATCGAAAATGTACCGACAGGTGTTGGAGGACACGTGTTTTCTGCGGATTTTTTTGGAGAGAAGACTCATCGCTGCCATTACGAGTACTGGAGCTCAATACGGTTACGTATGGTACAGCTTCAGCGCCGTTCCAAGCTACTCGATGCCTTATCCAACTTGCCGAAGACGATTCTAGTATTCTTCCCGAAGTAGTTCGGATTATTAAGGAGGACTTTTATGTGGATGATGTGCTTTCAGGTGCAGATACCATCGATAAAGCCGTCGAATACTATAAGCAGTGGAAATCATCACTGGCTGCAGGAGGCTTTCCATTGACCAAGTGGTGCTCTAACTCAAGGGAATTTCTCCAGCACGTCCCACCGGAAGACCAAGAGAAGCAGCAATCGATTCCAGTATATGGAGCAAACGAGTTGATCAAGCTTTTGGGACTCATTTGGGATCCGAAGGCTGATACTTTCAAAATTGCAATCCCACCTGCCTCATCGTTATCCAACGCCAATTGTGCCACCAAGAGAACCATCTACTCTGAAGTGGCAAAGCTTTATGATCCCCTAGGTCTTTTTTCTCCGGTGATCGTAACTGCCAAACTCCAAATACAGCAACTGTGGAAATCGAAGTTAGGATGGGATGATCCAGTGGAAAAGGAGTGTCAGCAAAACTGGAACGAATTCCGGCAAGCACTACCGCAACTAGCCCTTATCCAAGTTCCGAGAAGAGTAACAAGTGATAACGCAGTATCCTTCGAGTTGCACGGATTCGCAGATGCGTCTGCAGTTGCCTAAGGTGCTTGTTGTTATGTACGAAGTGTTTTCCCGAATGGATCTGCACAGCAAATCAAAGGTCCATGACCTATCGATTCCCAGGAAGGAACTGTGTGCAGCATTACTTTTGACTCGTCTGATGCAAAAGGTGATTTCAGCGATGAAAATGGCATTCGGTGAAGTCGTGTTATGGTCCGACAGCACCATCGTTCTTGCGTGGTTGAAAAAAACCGTTAGACCAGCTCCAGATTTTCGTGCGAAACCGTGTAGCGGAGATCTGTAGTATCACGGCGGATTATCAATGGAAGTACGTAAGTTCGAAGAATAATCCAGCTGACATCGTCTCGAGGGGGCAGTTACCTGAAGCTCTTAGCCAGAACCGTCTTTGGAAACACGGCCCAGAATTTCTAACACATCCAAACTATGAAAAGGAGATAGCAGAGAGCATTACGCCTGAGCCACTTCCCGAAATGAAGATCGTTGTGACAGCACTAGCCAAAGTGGACACCTCTATGTTCCAGTTCTTGCATCTCTACAGCGATTTCCGCAAGGTTCAGCGAATCATGGCGTATGTTTGGAGGTTTTTAGATAACTGTCGCAAGAAAGATCCGTGTCAACGAGTGAAGAAATCGTACTTAACCGTCTGCTAATTACGCCAACCAAGCGATGAAATCTTTAGATTTGTTCAGCATACTCATTTGAGCGACGAGATCAAGCTAGCTTCGTCAGGCGAATCATGTAAGAGAATTGGTAACCTACGTCCAGTATACATGGACGGTTTACTTCGTGTTGGTGGACGTCGGGATAAGTCAGCATTGCCCTTTGAATCTAAGCATCCTATTATCACAAACGAAGTGACAGACGGAGCGGCTCGAAAACTTTGGTGACTAACCTGCTATTGCAATTTTTCAGTGTACCACATGGCAACACCACTACTACTGGATTGTACCACATGGCAACACTACTATTGGATTGAAATAGCATTTTCACCAAATGTACTAGAATATTTTGGTTCTATCTCTTTCACTCTACTCAAAACTGAAATGCATAAAAAAAATGACAAAATGATACGCACTCTTTGCACGCTGTCAAAGAATCATTGTACACAAAATCAGCTTTGTTCAAATCAAAACAAAAAAACTAACCCATCTGGTGGATGATGGCACAAGCTTCCAAGAAAATTCTATTACAGTGAACCACATTATTTAAATGGATTTCTTCGCCAGTAAGTCGTCTGTCACTTCGTTTGTGCTATTATCCTGCCCGATAAGGATCCAGTGGTAAGAATGTTTGTCCGAACCATGCACAGGGAGCTCCTCCATGTTGGAGAGACCGGTTTGATCAATGCCATCCGGCAAAGATACTGGCTGCTCAACTCACGTTCTACCATCAGGCAGGTAACACGCAGCTGTGTGAGGTGTTTCCGTACCAATCCGAAAGACACTACGCAGCTCATGGGAAATTTGCCACAATCAAGAGTACGTCCATCGCCACCGTTCGCTGCTACAGGTGTTGATTATGCGGGCCCTATGTGGGTTAAACAGGGCACGTGCCGTGCCAAACTAGTTAAAGCTTACGTGGCGGTATATGTTTGCATGGCTACAAAGGCCATCCATTTAGAAGCGGTTTCTGATCTGAGCACAAATGCATTCCTGGCATCATTGAAAAGATTCGTCAGTCGTCGAGGTTTAGTACAGCGGCTTTATTCCGATAACGCCACAAACTTTAAGGGAGCGCATCATGAAATGAACGAACTCTTTGTACAGTTCACGAATCAGAAAATGGTCCAGGGAATCCACCAGTTCTGCCAAACGCGTGAGATAGAATGGCACTTCATTCCGCCGGACGCTCCTGAGTTCGGTGGACTTTGGGAGTCGGCGGTAAAATCAGCAAAAACCCTTTGAAGAGAATCATTGGAAATTCCAAATTGACGTTCGAGGAGTTTGCGACCGTTTTGGCAGAAATTGAAGCAGTATTAAACTCACGTCCTTTGTTCGCCATCTCAAACGACCCAGCTGATTGCAATGTAATAACTCCAGCTCATTATCTGATCGGTCGTCCACTTATTGCCCCTGCCGAATCATCACTGGAAGACCTCAACGTGAACCGTTTGGATCGCTGGCAGCACCTGCAATAATTGAGAGATCATTTCTGGAAAGCTTGGAGTCGTGATTATCTCAACACTTTGCAGCCTCGTAAGAAGTACTTGAAGACAGCGTCGAATATCCGAGTGGGAATGGTTGTGTTGCTCCACGAAAAAACGCAACTGCCTCTTAGCTGGAAGTTGGGACGAATTTCTGCAGTGTACCCAGGAAACGACGATTTAGTGCGGGTAGTTGATGTGTTCTCCGATGGATCTACGTATCGCCGTCCCATTACAAAGATCTCGATTTTACCGATCGAGGACAATGTCCCAGATGCGGAGCCTAGAGAAAAATGTTGAAATCTTCATTCCAACGGGGGGTGTATGTTCTAACTGTCATTCAAACGCCCCTCGGTTGCTGCGATGGGTAAAAAAGCTACGAAGAGAGAACGACGACGAACAGCAGCGAAGTTTTACTTTTAGCATTCTACTGCAGAAGAGATAGTTGTCATTTAGACGGAAGAGAATAAAGTAGTAGATAGTAGCACTGAGTTTTAGTTGGTTCCGTTCCCAAGATCCGAAGTGTCACAGTGGGTGACCGTCGTGTTCCGCCGTTTCCGATTGTATAGTGCCACAGTGTGTGGAACCGTATTGCCTTTATGTCCGTTTGGTCACAGAGTCACAGTGTGTGGCTGCAGTGCAATCTTGTCAAAGAGATTACAGTCCCGCCAATGAACCTCGTTTTTCCGTTACAGTCCCGAACAACGCTGAACCCGAAAAGGTCACACGAAACGAGTTTGACAAGGAATAAGTTTTTTTGGAGCCTACTACGGATACTGACTGCATTTGAAGGCAGTCCAATATCTTCACCTTCGGCAGGGCACGGTTTTTAAAGATTCCGAAGGAATCGGGACCCAAGAAATCATCACTAGTCAAACTCGCTTCGGTGACCACTCCTTCAATTTCTACCTCACTACTGGGTATGTAGACTCGGTATTCCAATGAAAAAAGCTCGCACGCAACAATTTGGTTAGCCTGCTTCCGGTCATCAACGGTAACGCGCAGTTTTATTGGTGTTACCTTGAAAATATCGGTAACGGCCGAAAAATGTGTTCTTAGATCCTTAGAGATCCTCGGAATGTTCAAAGGTTTTTGTTTGGGCCGGAAAAAAACAACCCATGGGCCTTTCGAGGCTTCTGGGTAAGCCTTTAGGCGGGGGAGCGCAGAGGTTTTCGGGGGCAATGGTGTGGGGGGTGCAGGTGGACGAGGAGGAGATGGTGGGGGAGAGGGTTGTGGGCGATACCTTTTCTTGGGATATGCTCCAGTATTTTTGCTGGAGAGCGAGTCAACTGGAACGTCAAGGGTTTCCATTTCCACAACTTCCTCGAGACTTTCGTGTGAGGTGGAATTAAGAGTTTCGTCGTCTGAGATGGAAAGCGACCATCCCCCGCCTTTATCATTTTCATCCATTGCGGTTAAAGATCGCCGCAATGGTGTTTTTGGTAAATACTGTACAAATAATTACAGTAATTTCAAATAATATCAAAAATAGTAAAAAAAAATGCTAAAAAAAAATTGATATAGTTTTATTCTACTAAAGAGTAATACGAAAGAAAGAAAAAAACCAAGAAAAAAAATAGAAAAAATATATATAGGGTTAAATACCCCATTTCCGGCCTATTAAGCACAACCCGCACTTAATCTTTCTTAATCTAGCGCAGTTTAGCACCAAACGGAATGTTATTATTACTGATGGCTTCCAAATTTATTTACCTTTCCGTATGTACCGTTATATTTGGTAAAGAGAATCCAATCGTTGAGATATTGTCAAAAGTCTAACACTGCTTCTTGACGCCAAACTCGGCCTACGGATTCTAAACTCGGCCTAACGCATTGAAACGCAATTGAAACGCCAAAGAATTCACTTCGGCCTATCGGATGAAGATAAAAAATGATTCGGTCGGAGCGCTTCTTTTGTTTTTGGGAATAATGGGTGCAAACCTTCAAATCACGCGTTCTCATTGACTTCGCTCGGAAGCTTATTAATTAAAGTATAGTACCAAACGCATAATTGATTTGGTAACTCTGTAATCATGGATTTATTTGAAGTTTTCTGCTCGATAGGCCCAAAATGGGCGATTAGGCCGAAGTAGTTCTCTACCCTATACTGAAAAAAAATGGATCACCCTAACTATACTCTACTTAAAAATAGTACGAGAAAAAAAAATCAAGAAAAAAAAATTATAGATATGGATCACCCTAATTATGACCCAACCTAATCTAATACTGGACCATGCGGGGAGATGCGATACTGGTGAAAACAAAGCGACACGGTATACCTATTGCACTGAGGCGGCAGATGACTGGTGCGATGCTATTGTATTCCCCAACGGCTGTTGGGTCGATAACCTTGCAGCTGGTATGCCTCTTTCGCCTCGGTAGGCAATTTAACGTGCTTTCGTTGTTGCTATCAATGGGCCGATAGTGGTGATGATTTTACAGATGTTGATGTTAAAGCTGGACCGTAATCAAAGCGCTCGGCGTATGATAAACGGCTTCCTCACTCGCGCACTAGTTGTCTTAACACTATGCCAACTAACTTTGGCGAGAAAAAACCCTGTGGAAAAACTCAAAAACTCAAATACTAGTGTTGTACAACGAGACCGATGCGACTTGACCGGCTCAGCGTGCGAGACGGAATGAATGTTCTTCCTTGAAAGAATACAAAAACTTATGCGCGAAATGTCTTGTTGATAACTCGAGTGTTACACATAATAAAGTCAACATTTGTGGCATTAGTGTAAAAAATCACGGCTTCAAAGAAGTATAAGGCTAAAGCGGCGGCTAAGAAAAAATGTTAGCCTTTTAAATATACGGTTTGGATATAATGTAAAACGAATTTTAAATGTTTTATTTTTTATCCCCCCCCTCGACTGGTGCGAGCATCGAGTGACAAAAGAAAAACTTGTGATTTGTTCCGGCCTAATGAACATATATATTTTTGATTTAAATGAACAAAATTTGGTTCCGTGTTTAACATTGGACGTTTTATTCTACATGATACTAGATTCCCTTTCACAAATTTCAGAGATTGGCCCCGCCTTTAGAAAATGAGCACCAATCATGTTAGGCAGTCCAAATGACCGAAGTAACAATCATGTATCCATCATTTCAATCTGTACATTAGACCATTTTTGACCTATGATTATCTTAAATAAATGAAAGTAAATTTGGATGGATGTTTTTGTATCACAAAGTAATAAATGAGTAATTGCTAGTACAAAAATGAATAAAATTTATGCATTTATGAGTAACAGAATACTGATGTGACCATAGGTGTAAAAATACACACATTTTAGGTGTAGTCCCGTTTTAGCCGAATATGCATACTTCTGGATCAACAATAGAAAAAGGCCCATCAGCATTTGTAATCAAACCGTTTCAAAACCCATTCCTCACAAATCGAAGGACGCCCACACAAACCAACACCATCATCGTGTAGGTAGAAGTTTCCCCTATCCGATGATGGTGTTGGTTTGCGTGGGTGGCCTTCGCTTTGTGAGTAAAGGGCTTTGGAACGGTTTGTTTAGAAATGCTGATGGGCCCTTTTCTATCGATGATCCAGAAGTATGCATATTCGGCTACAACGGGACTACAACAATAGAAAAGTTGATCCAGACTTTATAGTCAAAATTGAGCCCTTTATAGGCATTTTTGCGTATTTGGCAGTTTCCGTGTGTGCGGCAGTTTGTTTGTATTCATACGCTTATGCTCTACCGTCGTCTCTCTTACACAACGCAAACGGTAGGACAACATTCGAGCAAAAAGAAAATTATCAAATAACTATCATATGACATGTGTGATTTCGTTCTAATTCCTCAATTTGATGTAAATTAAACCATTTCTGATTAGAAATCTTATTACTAGGACATCGTTGCTTGCTATTTTCAGAATTAACACAAGCACAACATCAGCAGCTCTTATTATGCGAAAAACTAATATACAACTAATATAGCCTGTCATACGACACTTTAGTTTGGTACTGTAGCTACGAGAATCGCTGCCAATTGATCAATATCGAGCCCTTACGTATCCGAAGAGATGTTTTCAGAGCCTTAACCGTCGCCGATACTCTGCAAGGAAGAATTGACTGCGAAGCAATTCTGCAACAAGTGAACATTAATGTTCAACCTCGATCACTACGCAACAGTCTTATGCTGAGACTTCCACTTCTTCGAACTAATTATAGCATAGGGAGCGCTATTTACGGCTTGCAGCTAGTGTTCAACCGAGTAGCGTCGATGTTCGATTTCCACTTGACACGGAATATGCTTCGCCGAAGATTCTCTGCCTTTTTTGCTGACCGAAGGCGCTTGATACCCAACAGCTAAGTGTAAAATTTAAGACTTATAAATTTTTAATAACTTGACAATGCTTTCCAAGTTATTTTCGTTTGTAACTGTAGTAACTGTAGTATATGTATGTCGTCTGTATAATCTGTACTTTTTTACAACACATCATTGGGACTATTTCTAGTCTGTTGATGCAACCATAACAAATAAACAAATAAACAAATAATTTGATAGCTTGTTTTGCAAGTTTCGGAAGCAAAGGCAGTCGATTATCACAGAAAATGTGTCGACTACGGTGACCGTTTACAAGACAGGTCTTAATTTTGCGCTCATACAGGGTAAGTACATGCAGCATTTTCAGTACCACCATATTTTTCATGGCTTTTTTGTGTTTTTACCCTTCTTACAAAGAAGGGTATAGATATCACTTGAAAAACCGACTATCGACATATACCATTCGACTCGGCTCGACGAGATCGGAACATGTCTGTGTGTGTGTGTGTGTGTACGTGTGTATGTGTGTGTGTATGTAACGAAATGAATGCGCTCACGTTTCTCAGCAACCGCTCAACCGATTTGAACAAACTCGGCGCCAAATGATAGGTCTTGGGGTCCCATTGAACGCTATTGAACGGTTTTAGAATCGGTGAACCGGTTCCGGAGATATGGCCGGAATAAGATCCGGTGAATATGGGCTTCACGCTGGATTTAACGGAAAACGTATCAAAACCTACAGAATTCAAAAATAAGATCAATGCAAGTCGTGTTAAGTGTTCCAGACACATTGGACACACTTGGACATGTTCCGGATACCCCGGGGAAGTTGCTTGAATATGAATTGAATTAAAACCCATTAAATCACATTAAAATACGATGATAAGGTGATTGGTAGCCTCACCAAATAGACTACATCCGGATATATTCCGGGTACCCCCAGGCAGTGGCGTAGCGTCACTGGATGACACGGGGGTGGGGGGCTTGGTCACTGATGACAATAAAATAAATAAACTTGAATAAGTAAGAAGGGTCTGATCACACCATAGGTGGATAAATTCGGGTTTTTTTAAAGAAAATGCATTAACTTTGGTTGCAATTTGAGAACATTTGAGAATTGCGTGTAATTCGTGGTAATTTAATAAGCACTGACCGATAATGAATGTTGATAGAAACCCCTCGAATTCATTGTTTCAGATTTTATAGAGGGAATCGAACCGTCGTCTCCATGGTACGATTTGTAGCTGCGACTTTACTGGATTTCTCAAATTTTCTACGTTTCAGATGTTGGTATTGTGGCATCCTAATGTACGTCATTTTATTATAAATAGAAAAATAAGAAATTCTAGACACATGGAAACATAATCGTGATTTACAGTGACCAAAGTCTAGCTCGTCGGGTGATCGAATTTGCTCGTCTATTACCTTGTAAGCTATATAAGTGCAGCCAAAGTTATTGGTCATATTATTTTGTTATACACTTAGACAGATGTTGTAATGATTTTCTTCTAAACGCTACATGCTAATATTAAAATAATCTGTTTGTCATCACGAGTAATCGCTGCAAGAGAATGATGATAAAATCGGTCCTACTCTTAAAACTTATCAATACTTAGCTTGCTCCAAAAAGCTATGTAGGTATGTACGTTAAAGTTAAGAAAAGCATTCGCTTACTTTTTCGCAGACCTCCGTTTCCCACTACTGCTATCTTTGTGTGACGATTTTGGGGAATTCCCTCCGTTGGACACGGGGGTAGATGGAGTCGAGGTTCCATTTTTCAGGGCCGAATCGTGTTTCAGCATGTCACTCGGTTTGAATGGAAGTGATAACTCCTTTGAACGCTGCAGTATAAATCGCTCCAAGGTTTGGCCGGTTCTAAAACAAAAAGAAATTGAGTTTGAATAAAAACGTAATATAATGCCAGTTAATGGGTACACTTACCTATAGATTTCTGTTTCGTCGGTATTGTATAGATCGCAGTTACGGAACACCAGTTGTACGTCATTCATCATTTGTTCATTGATCGTGTATTCGCCCATATTCAGTTTTGATTTGATTTTGGCAAAATCCATCGGATTTTTTATAATGGTGTAATAATCTGGCACTTCCTTTACAGAAACCGGTCTGTCGAAAGGCCATGAGTCCGCATGTTTTAGAATATCATCGAGCAAAGTGTATAAAACTACGTTGTTCAGTGGCAGGTCGTCGCCGGTGCGTCTACCTCTGCGGGAATTTGATGAATCCAGGTCATCATTCGCAGCAGAACGTCGTGATTTACTGGGTGGAGAGGGTGTTTCATCATCTTCGTCTTCGTTTTCTTCGTGATATCCATTTGTCAAGGACCGTTTCGAAGTTGATCGACGACTACGCTTCGCTTTAACTGCTAAAGTTTCATCATCACTTGAATCCTCGTCATGAGATGTCTTGCGTTTGGAATTTCGTTTCTTCGAGGTGTTAACCTTTGTTCGTTCTTCAGCTTCTTCGCATTCTGGTTCCTCTTCGAACTCTTGTTCCTCTTCATATTCGTCGTAATCGTCTATGCTTTCGGCCTTCACCGGAGCTGAAGCAAGCCAGGCGGATATTTTCTTAGATTTTTTTTTATTATCTTTTGATTTCTTCTTAGAACTGCTGGAACCTGTTTTCTTTTTACAGCATTTGTCACAGTTCCAACGCTTTTTCTGTGTGCTTGTGAGAGACTTTGTACACTCCGGATGGTATGCCGTACTACACGTGGAACATAGTACGGTTGCACCTGCTATCTTACACCTTTTGCAATTGACTTCCTCTTCCGACTCGCTGAGCACCTCTTCATTTTCATCATCGGCCGTTTCATCTATCTGTTCTTCGAATTCTTCTTCCTCGACACGTTCCTCTTCTACGAAGACCTTGCGTTTTCTGGTTTGTCTCTTCTTTTTATAGTCTTCCGGTCGGCATTTCGGGCAGTACCAGTCTCCTTCTGGGACTTGTTTCAGCTTAGGTTTGAGGCAGTACATATGACAAGCACGGTTACATTCATCGCATAATAGCGTCATTTCCGGATCACCTTTTCGGCGGCAAATCATGCAAGCGATGCGCTCAGCAGATCTAGACCACTGTATTGTGTCGTATAGTACGTTGTAATGCAAAAAGATTTGAGAGTAGTTCGATGCACGCATAAGGGATTCTTCCCAACGTGCCAGATTCTTTTGACCTATAATCAGTGATTTTGTTATCGCAGCCTTGTCCTTTATTTTTTTCTTCACTCCAAGTGGATGACTCAGGAATTTAGAATCAATGCACTGCTCGATTTGAAGCAAAGCTTTTGCTAACGAATGAACTTTCTCTTTCAAAGTGTTCGATTCCTCTAACAGCTTTGACTCATCACTAGAGTCCTCAGATTCAATAATCATCGTATCTGGCAAATCATAACCTGGATCATTATCATGTGAGAGCTGCTTTTCATTGTCATCATCCGATTCGTCATTTTCCATACCTTCATCTTGATCTTCTGTGTCTTCTTTTTTCTCTTTTATGGCCATCACTCTATTACGACCCCATCGGAGCGGTTCGGAAAGTTGTTTATAATCGAACTGCTCCAATGCATCGCGCCATTCCTCTCGATTCCTCACCTTCATATTACCCAAATAACCAATAGAAATTTTAGCCTCAAGTTCTAGCAGATTCTCACGCAAAGTGGTTTCAAAAATTACATTTGGATCCGTTCCTGGTTCATGGTTGAAATCAGGTGAATCGTACTTTTTAATATACTTGGCATTAATGGCTGCAAGCACTGCATCCCGATCCACTACACTGGCAGTAATTTTTTCAACCGGGCAATCCTTGACATGGGTCAAAATGAGCTCTTTTTCGTTTTCTAGATTTTCGCGAAGTGTCTTCTCGCGTATACCTCTGGGATTGAGGCTTTCTATCAATGCGTTTATTTCTTCCTCCGTATGATAAAAACTCCACCTTGCACCTGAATGAACATCACTGTGCACCGGGCAGGATTTTGAATTGGCTGTACACATCAACAGTTCAGCATTTGTAGGCGTTTTCACAAGTTCCTTCTTCGTGTCTGTTGAACTCTCGTCGGGAGCTCCGTTAGGGGTCGCTTTGTTTTGATCAATCAACCCTTTAATTTTGGCACTCCCAGTCAACATGAGTTTTTCAATTACTAAGTCCTCTTTTTTGACTTGATTTTCTTTATCGTCTTCGCTCAGTTTGTTGTTCATAATTGTTTGTGTGATGAACTTCTTTCTCAAATCTGCAGGGCAAGAAGCCAATCCAGGAATGTGTGGTGTTGGTTTATCCTGACATTTGCCGGAATATGTTCGATCATACTCGACAAATAAACCCGGAAGAGACTCGAATAACCAGTAACTTCTATGAGCACGATCCGAGCCCAAGTAGATCTGGTAATCGAAGAAGTCTTCCTTGCACTTGTCGATGTCTTTTTGCAGAACTTTGACATCACGTTCTGTATCAGCGTCCAATTTCACAAACTCTTGGACCATCTTTTCTTCTGACTCCTTGCGTAAGGCTGCCTTTTCTTCAATAGTTCCTTCGTGGGCTACGATCTGGAAAGAATAAGGAACATAACTATTGTATTAGGGTAAACGCAGCAATAGTGGAGGTACGTTAGTGCAATGTGTTCCTATATCATGGCTTACGGAAACTCAATTTTTTAACCAGAAATTACTAATAAATGCGTAAAATTTTAGTCATTGTATATGGGTAGTTCCATTTTCCTTCAAAACTGTGTACTTTCCCGACTAGGATTGCACCCAGGCCTGCTGGGGTGAGAGGTAATCACGCTTACCACTACACCACCGGCGCCGCTATAAATTACATGAAAATCATAAAAATACCTTGAATACCTAAATCATAACTGATTTTGCTGAAAACAACAATTTCGGTTGACCGGTGGGATATGGATTTTTTGTAAAAAACTGCAACAAGTCTAGTTGTATACGTACCTTCCTTTTCAACTCATTCTTCATGTCCCACTTTTCGGAAGCGTTTCGTGCCTCACGCTTTCTTCTCGCTGCGTTTGCCGTGAGGTACTGCTGCTTTGCAATTTTAGCCTTCTCTAGACGTTCCTCGATCAGTTCCCGTACACTTCCGTACGTTAGCAACTGGTCGATGAGACATTTTAAAATCTTCAAAACGTCGCCAATTGGAAGCTGAAACACCGTAAAGGACTTGAGCGCCCTCAAAATATGCGGATAGTCGAGCACTAGCTGAACTCCTGGATCATCGTAGCTGTGGTAACCTCCACGCATAGAGAATCGCCATTTAGCACCTTTTTCTTCAATCAAAGCACCGGAGGAAAGGAAATGTAGTCTTAAGATTTCCGATACGGTAGTAGAATCCATCGGTAGCTCATTCAATTTAGTGCTATAATGTGTCTCACACCATATAGCAGCTTTAGTGGCTTTCTTTAAGAAAGGGAACCCATTTTTTCGGTTTCCGAAGTCAGCTGCCGTATCGTATCTAACGTATACCTCGTTTTCTTCTTCGACTTGGTGTGAGAAAATTGTGCTCAATAGCACTTGGAAAATGTCACTCAAAGGACCATTTACCTCCTTCAATAGCAGTGCCCTTTCCAGCAGATCCATAGAAAGACCGTTAGCGAATTTATCTTTAATCGACAATAGTTCCGCAAACGAAGTCATAAACTCCAGGATGTACATAAACTCACTGAAGTGCTTTGAATCGATTATAGTGCTCACTGGTTTCGGTTCCGGAATAACCTTCTGATCGGACAGTTCCTGGTCTTCCTGGACGCGATTGAACTTTTTCATGGCTATCGCCACTTGCTCAGCAAGGATGGCTTTCTGCTCCTCCAAGCGTTTCTTTTCCAAAGCCTCCTTCTCTGCTTTCTCTTTTCGTATCCGTTCCATTTCTTCTTTGAGGTTCTTGTCTGATTTCTGATCGTCAACTGTCTTGAACTTACTGCTGCCGCCTTCTTCGGAGGATTTATTTAAGTATTTAGAAATGCTCTGCTGTTTTCCATCGTCCTTCTTGAAACCTGGCTTCGGACCAGGTTTCTTTTTAGTTTTTGGAGGTAAATTTTGCTTATCCTGCTCCATGCGAAGCTTCTTTTCCTCGGCGATTTGAAAACGCTTTGATTTTCCAAAATCTGGTGGATTCCCAAAGAATATCATGTCATCGGTCATTTTCTCATCAGAGACAAACTTTTTGAAGGAAGCTTCCTTAATCTTAAGCACTCCACCAACTTGCTCTACGTGCTGCTTCAGGAACAGTTTACATTTGTCACGAGTTGTTGAGCTGCGTTCTCGTCTCATATTTTCCGCAATTGAAGTCCATTCCTTTGGCGTACGCCCATCATCAGAGTGAACGCGATACTTGAACTTGTCTGCCTTCGTGGGGCTGTTTTTATTACTGAAACAAAATAATGATACAAATTAGATTACGGTAAATAATAGTTTCGGCAGGCTTTCATTCAGCAGGAAATTTCACTTAAGGATCAGCTCAACACACTTGACTAAATTATTGTATACACGCAGAAAAATGGATTTTTGTTTCAGGGGCTAATGTATTTTGTTATTGATTCAAACATATTGTATCACCATTTCAACGAAACATATTTTTGAATCAACAAAATGGTTTTTAGAATCAACAAACAGATTATAGACTCTACAACCGGTTTGTTGATTCAAAAATATTTTTCTTTGAATTAACCGAATAATATATTTGAATCAATACCAAAAATATATTAGGCAATGAGCCAAAAATATATCCATTTGAATTTAAAAATCATTTCTCTCTGTAACGGATCAGGAGGATCGTTCTGTACAAATTGAATATACTGTGGCTTCGAACGATTAAAAATGTATATAACAGTCGGAGCTGTACTGAAGCGAAATACAGAGACGTCGGATCACTTTCGTTTTGACGCTGAACTCGTTAACTACCTTTTTTTATTCTCTCCAGGAACAAGAACCTGTATCACGGTAACAAGGGGAAAAGTAAAAAAAAAACAGTAAGTATTCCTGACTCGATTCAGGAACACAAAAGTGGCGACGACGAAAAAGAATTGCAGTGCATTTGAGTTAGGTAAAAATCCCTTGAAAGCAATTTTAAGAAGTGTGGTACATTCAAAAAATAAATCACATTTCCGATGGAAAATATCCATTAGAATTTCACATAACTTTCATGTGATCTCATAATTGGGAGTTGCTCCACGAAATCACATGAACCTTATGTGTGCAATGAAGTTTATGTGATTTATCACATAGAATTCATGTAATCATATGAATGTTATGTGAATTTCAGATAAAAATCATTAATTTTGTTATAGGAAAAATATCATGTGCGATCCCAATGGAAACTATATGAAAACTTTTTTCAGTGTAGAGCTACGCGAGTGTAAGTATCGGAATTTCGGCTACCGGAGCTAGGTGTAGTTTTATCCGAGGTTTTACCTCATCACCTCACGAACCGCACCGTCAGGATTGCGATAGCATAGGATTGATTTATCGGCTATTCAGTTGTGAAGCTGGCAGTTGCAGTGGAGTAACCTTTGTGTCATGAGAAGCTATTTTACTTTTTTTTCAAGGACGCCATTTTTGCGTCCAGACCATTTTCGTGGTGACAGACAATAACCATTTGTTCTTCTGATAAAGCGATTGCGGCTTGAAGACAATTGGATTTTGTTTTCATATTACATGCTAAGAGTGTGCTTTTTTCTCTTAAAAAAGTAGAAGGGTCTGTGCCTAGGGGCACGAACGGGAGCTTGACGTAGGACCGCTAGGGCACGGAACAAATGTGAAGAAAATCATCTATTATCTTAACTCTTTCCGTTTTTGATTTGTAGCCGTACAAAATTTGTAGTATTTTTTTCAAAGAGAAAGATGATGAAGAGAACCGATCAAAATCACTTGCACCCCTGCTTCCAAGTTTGGTTACAAGATTACAACTCTGGAGAGCATTTTGTGTGGTCGTTGGGGGCATGTGGTTCTGAATATGGACCAACAGGCAGATAAATTCTATTCCTACTCTTTACTGTAATAAGCTTGTTGGCCCAGAAAAGGGCCGTTTTGTTGCTAAAGTTGGTGATGATTTAACCACAGACAAACAGACATAACACTCGCAAGTTGTTCATCGAACAAGCATTTAACGGACAATTTAAAAGTATCGTAGTTGGTAGTACCACCACCTGAGGCGCGCATAGTCAATTCCCTTGCGTTTGACGTTTACACACTACCACCATCTGTTCAGTGTAGTGCCCACCACAGTGTACTCAACAGATGGCGGTAATGTTTTAGTGACGATATTTTACAGTGAGAAATATTCAATGCGTTATGTCTGTTTGTCTGTGATTTAACCTCCGAAACTGTACTGAGTTTGTCTGTCGCTTCAAAGCGTAGACGACATCGATGGTAGCATACGATTGGCGTGTTAAGTATAGGTGACAGCATCACGGATCACATTTTCCAAGAACACCTTCAGCACACCTCGTGTTTTCTCGTAGATCAGACCGGGGACACGTTTGATACCGCCACGGCGAGCCCGACGACTACTTTTGCTGCTTCTGCTGCCTGCTCACCACGGTGTCCGAAGCGAAAATGAGTTGAGGCTTTTTTTTTAGTAAAATTTGCGTTTATTTTCTGGTTTTTTTTTTATGTTTCAACATTTGGTTTAACATTTCAATTGGTTAGCCTTTGGCTCTTCATCTTTGTTCTAGTTAATTGGTTGTTATAATGTGATGATTGCGTTTTACAGGATATCTTTTATGGGATTGTTTTGGTATGAGTTCCCGAGCAAAGTCGGATATCAAAATACTATCAAAATGATATCTAATTTTGTTTTGACGTAGGACTACGTCTTTGATTTCTATATGGGGGTACACTTTGTGAAAACCGAAAATGGAACATGTAACAAATTAAGAAAGATTTTGAGCGTTCATAACTCAGCTGCCCCTGGTCCAATTTCAATAATTTTATCACCAATCGATCAGAAATATGGCTACGCATCGATAACAATCCGAATGTTGATTTTCAACAAGAAACTATTGAAAAAATGGTAAATGTCCGGCATTGTCCAAAAGCGTCGAATTAACAAACAAATCCACCAATTACCTACATGCATATGCTGCTTCCCCAGCACAGTCGTCAGAGAGTAGTAAGTAGACGAAACAAGTCGAAGTGGCATTCGCCTTCGATCCTCGGGCGCGTGCGAATATGGAGGATGGAATTGCGTAAAATTTTGCGGACTCATCGCCATATTCAGAACCAAACGCAAATTCTTCGAGATAACCACCATCCGTCGTCTGGCTCGCCGTGCCGGTGTCTGACGTATCTCCGGTCTGATCTACGAGGTGTGCTGAAGGTGTTCCTGAAAAATGAGATCCGTGATGCTGTCACCTACACTAAACACGCCAAGCGTAAGCGGCCATGGATGTAATCTACGTTTTGAAGTGACAGAGACGCACTCTGTTTGGTTTCGGAGGTTAAATCATCACAAACTTTGGCAACAAAACGGCTCTTTTCAGGGCCACCAAGCTTATTACAGTAAAGAGTACGAATAGAATTCATCTACCTGTTTGTCCATATTCAGAACCAACGATCACACAATCACACAGATTTTTTAGGTTTTCTACAGGAAACCATGAGAAATTTACTCATCGCTGAGTTCTTGCACTTTTGGCGATTATGAGTGAACTAAACTCAAATTTGAGTCGTTCTCATTCGCCGTGTACGCAAAAAGAAAAGAGCCAGTGTCGCTACGGTCACTACTTGATAGCAAACTACTCATAATGGGAGGAGCATGGTGGGTATATAAATGGTGATACAGCTTCGTCACTATATAGGCGAGGAGGTCGCGGGGGGGAGGGTTTTAGAGCAAATTGTAAACAAACTCGGTCGCTGTCCCATACAAAAATCCAACATGGCTGAATCACGAATTTGACACATTAGAACATCTATATGTAGCCACCTTGGGGAGGAGTCTTTGTAGCTTTTATACCACTTGGTTGCACATCATTCTGCTTTAACCTGAAAAGATATAAAAGAGCGCTGCGGTATGACATTAGCTCATTTTCGCTTCGGACCACGCCGAACAACAAAAGCAGCAGAAGGAAGGTGGTGGCTAGTACACTCCTTCACACCTAACAAGCAACAATTGGCTGGTCGTGGCAAAAGAGGAAAAGGTCTGGTAAAGGAGGCGCCAAGCGTCGTCGCAAAGTTCTTCAAGATAACCACCATCCGTCGTCTGGCTCGCCGAGGCGGTGTCAAACGTATCTCCGGTCTGATCTACGAGGTGTGCTGAAGGTGTTCCTGGAAAATGAAGTCCGTGATGCTGTCACCTACACTAAACACGTCAAGCGCAAGTGGCCATGGATGTCCTCTTCAATAAAACGGCCCTTTTCAGGGCCAACAAGCTTACATCAGTAAAGAGCTGGAATAGAATTTATCTGTGCTTGTTTGTCCATATTCAGAACCACAAGCCCCCAACGACCACACAAAATGCTCTCCAGAGTTGTAATCTTGTAACCAAACTTGGAAGCAGGGGTGCATGTGATTTTGATTGATTCTCTTAATCAACTTTCTCTTTGAGAAAGATTACTACAAATTTGGTACGCATACAATTCAAAAACGGAAAGAGTTGAGATAATAGATAATTGATCAATTAAAAGAACTAAATGCGCTACACATTTATTCCGTCCACTAGCGGTCCTACGTCAAGCTTCCATTCGTGCCCCTAGGCACAGACCCTTCTTCTTTTTTAAATCATGTTGATAACATATTTTGATATGCTATTTTTTAAATTTCGGTTGAATTCATATTTTGATATTGCTTTGATATTTCTAAAAATATTATTTAGAACAAAATTTGATATTTTATATAAAAAAAAAAACGCATCCACACTTATCACTGAAATCTACATTTATTTTTATTTTTTCTTCTTACGAGTCAATCAGGTTTCTTTATGAACATCATAAAGACAATTATGATTCTTACAGTGTTGTTTTACAACATTTATTGACATTAATCTGCCTGTGAATTGAATTTACAAATCGATATAAAATTGATTGCGTCCAGTTCGTCTGTAATACTTATACTAATACATTGTTGTCGAATATTGCAATTTAACTTTCGTAGACTTAGTCGGTTTCTTTGCTTAAATAGCTTAAATATGTTGTCATAAATTTTTATTAATTATCAGTTCTCTCCCAATAAAATAAATATCGTCATTGTCTGTTAAAATATGTTCGATGCGAAGGAATTTATGATTCATAATATTATAAGAGTCATCGTAGACTAATTTTTTACACAATTCGTGTGTCCTATTCCTATATTGAATATAATTCCACTAGAATTTGTCATGAAAACGAAATTCTAAACTTAAAAACTTCACATCGTCTATTTCTATGCTATTGG